TCATCATCATCATCAACATACCCGGTTGGTGTCCGAATCATTTTCTCGATGATAATAACCGATGATTTTTTTTTTTTTTTTTTTGGTTATAACCAAGTGATAACAGAAACAAATAAAATAGGACCACCCGGCGGAACCATTTATTATTATATAGGTTGTTTCCGTTTTTTAGATAATAAAGATCATATTGAACCTCTTAATTTTGTTTGCCGTCAAACGATTATTCTTGGGGAAAAAAATCAAATATTCAAAAATTTTTTTTAAAAAAAAGTTTGAACTTAACGTCATCTGGTGACCATTAACAACAGCATTATTTGCTTAAATTTTTTTTGGCGGAATCAAATCAAAATGGATTTAATACACTGTTGGAGGCCATCTTTTTTTTTCTTTATCAATCATCATATAATATATTGAAAAATGCATTTAGTTTAGTTTTCAATCATAAAACTTTATTCTAATTTTTTTTCTAAAAAGAAAAAAACGCTGATAAAAAGCATTTGACTACCATACCAGCGATGTTCTTATTTTGTTTTTGTTTTTGTTACTATATATATTGAATAGACGGATTAACGGTCTGGTATGATGATTGTTCGATTGATAACATTATCATTATCAATTGATTTAGTTTAGTTTGAAGTAAACAACAGCGCAAAAAAAAAATGTTTATCTCTGCTGTCTCTACATACGTGTTTGGTTATTTTGCATTGATAAAGATATCACATTCAATTATTTGATGGTGATCACAAAAGGAAAACATTGATGATTATTTAAATAAAAAACAAATCATGAGCCTTTTTTCAATTAGATTATTGATTATATTTACATCTTTATTATCTTCGATTGAATCGATTAATGAATGGAAATCTGAAGAAAAATTCTGTGAAAATATTCTAAAACCATGTAATTGTTTTGTCGATGCTCAAACTAATCTGTTAAGGTCTGTATAATGTATTTTTTTCCTGATTCCAATTTTCGACCAACATCTTTTGTGGCTTTTTTTCTTGAACCAGATAGTGTTCATTGTAAAGGTGATGATAAGATCAACAATTTGGATCAGATATTGAAACGTATTGCACAGACAATCGATAATATCCAATTCGATGAATTGATTTTGGAAAATTTCACTCAGATTAAAATGATAGATTTCACACAAATTCAACAGGTTCCAATTAAAACAATTCGTATATTCGATTGTAATCATTTGGAACTTTTAATCAATAAAAATTCAAATAAAAACTCAACTCAATTGGCAAAATCTTTGATTGAATTGGAATTGGCAGGCAATATAGCTATCGATTCGGATCGTTTATTCGAGGTAAGTTTCCTTAAAAGAAATTCATCATAATTGATTCTATTCAATCAATTAAGTTCTTGTATACATTTTCTCGATTACGATCGATAATTCTGAGCTCAATAAATTATCGAAAAATACCGGTGTTAAATCATACTAATAAATGTTTACCTTGGAAACGTCTCGTATTTAATCATCGCTGTACAAAAAATCAAAAACAACCACTCACCATTGATCGATCAGATCAATTTATTAATCTTTGTAACATACGATGGTTAGATCTTTCCTGTATGAATCTTCAACATCTGAATCGAATGGCTATATTAAAACTTTGTCAACATTTGAATGCAACGACTACTAAAGGCAGCGAATTACATCTGGATCTAAGCTATAATCCTTTATTGAATATTGATCAATGGGCTAAGGATGGTTATGATGAACGTTTACTTCACATTGAATTCTGAGCTAACCAAAAGAAAAAAGCAAATAAAAACGGTAATCATTCGATCTCGAAACAGTTTTTTTATTTAATCGAAAGTTTTTGATAGAAAAAATAATTTTTTATTTAGAATATCTATGAAAAATAAAATAAAAATTATCACAGGAATAATATGCCAAGCGAATCAATCGATCATGCATGATTTAAAGTTGTTCATTGAAATTACTTCGAAAGTTTACGAAATTCCGGGAAATATTCCAACATGAATGCTTCGATAAATTCCTTGAATTAGAGAAAACAATTCATTAGAGCAAAATTTTTTTGAAAAGAAAAACTTACATAAATAAGATGTTTATTAAGTTTTTGATATTGTAATATATCAAAACATTTATTAAGGCCGCGATCAATATTTTGTTGTCCCAAAAGATGATTAATGATTGTCGGTACGGCAGCAAACAGTAACTGCTTAGCAAGAATCTGTAGTTTACGTTCTTTAATCGATTCATCCGGATCTTCAACCAATGATGATGATGATGAATCTTGTTGTTTTACTTTTTCTTCCATTCCTTTCTCAGCATTTGCAGGTGCTGATGATGATGATGGATTTACCAACGCTTCCAATGAATCTGATGACGATGAAGACGACGGTGATGGTGATGGAAAACCAAATAATTCATTCGGTGTCGATGATGATGGTCGACGTTGTTGTTCGGATTGATTGATTATCGAATGATCAATTTCCTGTTCATTATCAAACATCAACATTGTTGGTGTTGCCGGTGTTGTTGGCGTTGGTGGTTGATTTTCCAGTGAACAAAGTAGATGATTCAATTCTTCTAGATAGCCATCAATTTGACTAGCTTCGTTGTTATTAACTTTTTGTTGTTGTTTTTGTTTTAGATTTTTTGATGGCTGATTTCGAACTGAATTTTCTCGAGAATTTTTCAACATTTTGTCTAAATGTAAATCTATTTGTGATAATAAATGGAAAACATTTTTCTCGGTGAACAGTGATTCTAGAAATTGTTTATATGGACGTGACATTTTCGATGAGCCGAAAAATAACCGAGTTACAAACATTAACAGACGTCGTAATGTACGGGTTACAGTATTGCCTTTTAGTTCGAATATTTCGATCAATAGTTGAAAAAATGGTTCCAACAATTGAGTTTCATCCAATGACATCAATAACAATGGTGGTTCATCATTTGAACTGATCATTTCTTCATTCAGAAGAATATCAACATCATCGGTATTGGTCATCACTGAAGATCGAGATGATGATTGTCGAAAAAGATTTGTAAAAATATTTATATTGCCGGTATTGAAAACAGTATCGAATAGATTTTGTGATGATGATACTGTCGCTGAACATTGATCATCTTGTCCTTGTTCTAATAGTTGTGAATGAAAGAGACGAAATTTCCTATTATTAGATGATGTTGGTGGCTGTTGTTGTTGTTGATTATTGATCGATGATAATGAAATCTTTCTAGTCGATTGACAATTTGGACATCGAAATGATTGTTCGGTTCTTTCATTTTTGTCAAACATTTTCAATTGATTCAGACAATAATCAAAACATTCTTTGGATGTTTTGTCCATTAGTAGGCAACGCATTTGTGTGAAAAACAAACGACTAGTTAGACTTTGTTTGTTTATTATCATATCTAAATCATTATTATTCGAATGTGAGGATTCTAACATTTCTTTTTCAATCGTTTCGGTTGATGATTGCTCAAAATGTGTAACAAGATGTCCGATCAATTGATCCCAGATTTCATCCGATAACGGTTGATCTGAATCACTATTATTGAATAACATTTGAAATGTATAAATCTGAACAAATTGATTAAGGCCCGAATCTTCATTCAAATCGAAAAGATAATCATGAAGAAAACATCGAAGACAATGATGATTCGAATCATTATCATTGGACAATGGTTGACAAGCGGCAGATTTAGAATCTTCATCATAACCGATAAGATGCAAAAAGCCAATTGATTTGACCACCAACTCTTGTGCAGTTATTTGTTGAAACAGAATATTCAATAATTTTTCCGTTCGTTCAATCATATTATCGATTTTTGTTGATAGTTTAACACTTTCGTTAATCATTACTTTACCATTATCGCCAAACACTTCAATCGCATCTTGACCAATGTCTAAATCATTGTTATCCGATGATGTTGTTTCATCACGTATTAGTAATTTTTTAAATGAAATTGAATTGGTAGTTGTATTTTTATTTTTTTCTCGTTTTAAACTATTCAACTGTTTCGTTTCAAGTTTTTTACGCTCAAACAAATGTTGTTGTTTTATTTCGATAACCATCGAACGATTCAATTGTCGAATTTCGGTTAGAATTCGATTGGAACGTTGCAAAAAAGTTTCAAGAACTTTTAATTCTAAATTTGATAATTTGGTACCGATTCGATTTTTATCACCAATCACAGCAGTAGATGATGATAATAATTTGAGAATTTTTCCATCATCTTGTTGTCGATGTTGTAATTGATCGGTAACAGTGGAAAGATAATTGCGAAGGTTATAACGGCCAAGAAATAGAATGAATCGAAGAAATGGCCGAATTGATTGTGCATAGAATCGTTGCAATTGTTCCAATTTCAATTCGATCGACCATTGATATGACCAATTCGACATAAGATCATTGCGAACAATAGTCGGTAATAATTTTCTTGATTGATTATCATCATGATGATGATATTGAAAACGTGATAATAATGCCGTAACATTCATCTGGAATAGAAAATTTGAATTCGGATTCGATGAACCTCCATGATTTAATTGATTTGTTGCAGAAGACTTTCGTTGTTGTTGTTGTTGATTTTGTGTGACAAAAAGATTTTCAACGAATGCCATTATTTTTGATTCGGCTGTATTAGCGGTAGATGATTGTAATATTTGAGCAAAATCATCACGAAATCTACAATCAGTGATGACACAGCTAAAATCTGCATTCAACCAACAGAATGCACGTGTTAGAATTCGATGTAACCTATTAATTGATCGAGATAATTGATCAATATCATCTGAAATGATAACCGGCAAATCATGATTGATTTGATTAGCCGATGATTGAATTGAACAATCAGCCATAATGATGTTACGTATCCAACATTTTAAACGCAATCGTATGATAAGCAATAATTTCACTGTAGAAAGATAACTAAATGGAAATTCAATCGAATTGAATAACATACGACGATTCTTAGGCAGATCGATCAGCTTTTTTTCAATTTTTTCAGTTTTGTTATTCACCACCGGTGTTGTCAATAGAATTTTACCAATTGGTCGCATACGCAAAGCTTGTTTTAGACGATCAAGTTTGTTTTTGTTGGTGGATTTAGACAGATTTTTGCTACACCATTGTTCACTGGAAAGTTTTTCATCAAGATCAATAATCGATGACGATGATTTACGTTGTTGAAAATATTGTGTTAACATTTGATCATATTCTTGAGAAATAAGAAATTGTGGATAGAATTCCTGATGAAAACAATCGAATAATATTCTTTCGAGACGTACAAATACATCCAGATATTGACACCAATCGATTCGTTTAAGAACATAGAATGCTGAACTCATATCGTCTTGTCCTCTCAAATCATTATAGTTTCGTAGAAACATCTCCCTGTCATCATTATTGTATAGATCAAAATGTTCGATCGAAATATTCAAAGATTCTATTTCGATGTTGCCAAGTAAAAATCTTTCCAATGATAACATTAAATCCGTTGATATTGATAGAAATTGTCTGGAAAAAGTATAGAAAAAACGTTGATCGGTAATCATTGCAAAAATTTTCTTAAACGAATCTTCAAACGATCGATATAAAATGGTTGTTTGTCGGTCATCATCATCGTCATCATTGCTATTGTTTAAGTGTTGAAAATTTTGAAATACAGTCTGTAAATTTTCCCAAAATTCAAGCATATAAACAGTACAATCGACAAGAAGAACGTCTTTTCGAAATTTCATCAATGATGATCGTTTAGTAGTGGCGGGATCTGTTTGTAACAATGATCGTTGTAGGAATGTTTTAAAATAATCACGTGAAATTTTGTTGGCCATAATCTGATGAAATTTGAAAATTTTTTTCTGTTTGGGTCGTTGAAATTGATTATCACTGTGATGATGATGATGATTACCGATTGATCGATTATCATCGTCATAAGATTTGTGCGGTACAATCATTGAATCATCCAATGAAATGGATCGTACCAAATCAGATTGAAATGATAAATCATCATAGCTATAGCGCCTAATCAATTTTGATTTTGTCACTTTGACTGGTGTTGGAGATGTTGATTCTTCATCTTGATTCATGATTTCGACATCAACAAATGATGAACTTGAATTATTATGATTATTATCATCGATAGTCATTGGTAATAATTCGGCTAATGTTCGTTTACGTATCTGAATTTTTTGTTCACACAAAGTTTTAGCAAAACGTAATTGTGTGATTAAACGTTTGATATTTTTTTCCTGTTTAAATTTTTTGAATTTTAAATTGATCTGACCATTAAAGGTAAAACTTTCAACACAATCCGGTGACAATTGACGAGTGTTAACTGTTGAATGTTGTCGTCGTTGCGGAAATCCTTGATCATCTAAACCAGCAACATTACGACGATCAAGATGTGATACAACGGCTGCATCCAATATTTCGGCAATCAATTTAAGTCGTATATGTTTCAATAGTTTAATATTATTACATTGATCAATTAATTCATATAATCGTTCAAAATCATTGGCCAATATACATTGTTTGGCTTCGTTCAATATGAAAACATTTTTCTTATGACCAAAATACTCACCACCACCGTCACCATCGTCATCATCATCGTCATCATATGAATCAGAACAGGAGATAGAATCATCAGTTTCATTTGTTGATTGTTTCAAATTATTAGCATTGGATGATTTTTGAATAGAATTATTATCAAAGAAAAGTAGATCTTTTAGTATAAAATATTGTTTCAATATTTTAACGATTTGATAATTAATTATTTTTGGTTGTGTAATTAAATCAATTGTATCGTATAATATTTTTGCAAAAATTTCATTCAGAAATGAACGAATTGTTTGTGAATTTTGTATCAAAGATAATTTCGACTCGGATGATGATGGTGATGAAAGCTGATTCTGATAACCACGATTTATATCATTTAATAATGTTGTTAGTATAAAATTGGCTAGATTTTCAATCAAAAATTTTTCGGAATTTGAATCGGCCAGATGCGATGCTAATGGATATATTATGGTTACTTTGGTTGGAAAAATTGGGGCAGAATGAATCGGCTCGACAATAGTCGCCTTTGTTTGCTGTTCAGCATTGTCGTTGTCGTTTACTTGAGATGATGACTGGAAAACATCAGGATTCATTGATGATGTTTTCTGGAATGGATTCAGATTTAGTAGGAATTTTTGGGTCTTAGAATTGGAAATGAATGATGATAATTTTGATTTCACTAAAATTGTTTTATCATTATCGTTCAGATTCGATATCAAATCTGTTGTTGTTTGTGAAGCTGAACATGATATATCACTTATATCATTATCATCATCAACATCCGACGAAGATGATGATCGTGAAATGTTTGTTACAATCGATGAAATTGAATGCTGATTCTTTCGATGATGGCCAATCGAATTCGGCCGAGATTCGGAAATTAAAGTGCCATTATCATTATCCTCTTTTTGATTATGATTATGATTGATATTTTGGAAATGTTTTCGTACGCGTTGAATCAAATCTTGGGAAATGAATTGAATATGATTAACATTGTAAAGACGATCGATAAAACAGGATAATAATATCCATATATCATTTCTGAGCAAAGTATGAAGACGTTCGACTAATTGCCGCTTAGTTTCTGGACAATTGGTATCATGAACAGATGACGATAGTGATGAATCAATTAATGGACGATACCATGTCATTACATAATACTCGACAATTTTATCCACAATTTTACATAAAAGTTTATCAATTTCTTTAGTCATTACAATACGATCATTGAATTTTGATGTCGACGATGATGACGATGATGATGGACTTGGATTGCTATTAAATGATGTGGTCGATGGTTTGATAGTTCGATGACCATCATCATTTGCATAGGTATGATTAACGGAATCATCATTATATTTCCAATATAGATATAATGATGTAAGGAAAGCCAATAGAATTATGCTTGGAATTAGAATAAAATAATATAACAAAACGATGACCAGATTCATAGTGGAATGAAATTGAGAATTAAAATTTGAGATCGGAATGAATGAATCATTTCACTGTTGTTGAATAATAGTAAAATAAAACGTAAATAATTAAAATATAACAACAAAACATTGCTTACCAAGATGATTAGTTTGGAATAAACAAAAACACAAGGCCATTTACTATGTATGCTCATGAGCTCATCTTTATCATTCAATGAACGATTAATTTGTTTATTAATTTTTCATCGATATATAACCATCGATTGATTTGATTTTAATGATATGATTAAAATGATAATAACATTAATACCATTAGTTGGCTACGTAGTTGCGTTTATGTGGAAGTATTTCCCGAAAACAATAACATTGCCAAAATCAGGAATATTTTGGGAAAGATTTCGTTTCATTTTCCAACAACAGATAGATCCACTTTCGTTAAAAAAGACAAAAATTACCAATTTTTTTTTTTTGAAAAGTTTTATTTATTCAGTGACAAACAACAAGGAAAAACAGCAAACGAATCTAATGATTAAATAATCTAATGGAATAATAAATGGAAATAAATGTAATCAAGATTATGATTATGATTGAAGATTTGACCAAATTAAGGATCATCATCCTGTACGATGAATGATGATTGTGGTTCATTTTGAATGATGAATTGTTGTTCACCATCATTATCATCATTAGCTTGATGCTGATTGGTATCGGAATAATAATAAAGGAAAATAAGATAATGAATCAATATCAAATAGACAATAATAATTAGACGATTCACTTTGGATCGTGTTTGACCAAATAATAGAATATTTTTCTGTCGTCGTAGCCAACGTTTTGTAGCTGTAGAGAATGACATTTCATTATCATTATGTCCACTGAATGATTGTTGTTGATGAATATCATCCATTGATAATGCCAAACTTGATTGTGAATATGGATGATATGCATTATTATTGCTGCCATAATGATGATGATCATCATCCTGGATTTTGTTCAATCAATCAAATTTTATTAAATACATTTTAATACACATAGGATTGATTAAAAATTACCTGTTGCCAGAAATCCATTGAACGAAGTTTACCATTTTTCTGAATATTTAGATTATGAATTAAATTCATACCAGTATCATCGTTATCCATAAACATACGATAATATTGATAATCAACATCACCATTATGATGATTATTCAATGAATTTAAATAGAATGTTTCCAACTGTCTTCGTCGTTGTCGTTCATTTTCTAATTGATTTCCCATTTCTTTTAATTGTTCCTGTTGATCATCCAAACGATTAGTCATTTCACTTAATTTTATTTCATTCAATGCTAACTCGGCCATTAATTGTCCCTCGGTTCGATCACTGCTGTTGTTGTTGTTGTTTCCGGTATTTGATTCTGAATCAGATTTATCCGGTTGTTGTTGTGGTTTGAATTTTTCATTCAAAGTCATCACTTTTTCCTGTAATTGTTTGATTTCTGTTTCTTTTGATTTCATTTTAGTCATCATTTTACGGAAACGTTGTTCATATTCAGTTTTTTCGCCTTTGTTTTTAATGATATAATTGAAAATTGAAAACTAAAATATCGATAAATAGAAATATAAAACATCACACTTACGTATCATTGAATCTTTCTCCTTTTTCATTTGTTCTTTGGCCTGATCTAAATGTTTATCTTTCAAACGAATAGTCTGTTCGAATTGTTCCTGTTGTCTTTGTCGTTCTTGTTTTTCTTTATCCAATTCTTTCACCAAATTATCAATTTGATTCTTATAATAAACAAATTCATCTTCAAATTCAGCCGATGCTATGGATTAGTGGAATAACAAGTTAGGAATTTTAAAAAAATTGTTCCAATTATATCAAGATTACCCATATTTTTCAATGATGTTTCAAGTTCATCAATTTTTGATCTTAATTCCTTTGTTACAGATTCGGCGCATGCTAAATCAGTTTTTAGATTATTAATCTCAACTTGATAATCATGCTGTTGATCATCAAGTTTTTGTTTCATTTCATTTAATCTTGAATCGATCAATGTCTGTTCCTTTAGTTCTTCATATTTTAATCGTCCTTCTAATTCTTCAATTCTTGCCTGTAATTCGATCTCAGTTTTTCCCGATGCTTTTAGCCGTTCATCCAATTTAACATAACGACCTTTCAAACTTTGCATTTTTTGTTGCAATTTTTCAATCAAACTTTCCCGTTCATTAATTGCGGTACTAAAACTTTCAATCTCAAGTTCGTAATTATGTTTTAGTATGTCCAATTCATATTGAACATCACTAAGACTAAATTCATCATCTTTGACCTTCTGATCTAATCGTTGATTTTCCTGTTCTAATTCGACGATTCGATTACGATATTCATTTTCTTTTTTCATCAATGTTTCCAAATCATGTTGCATTTTTACGAAATGTTCATATGCTTTGATCGATGTGGCAACAACATCTTCATTTTCATCGATTATTACAGATGATTGTTGATGATGTTGATTATGATGATTGGTATTATTATCGACCGATTTTTGTTCATCTCTTATTTTATCTTCTTGCTGCTGTTCATGTTGATTATCTTGTTGATTTGTTGTCAAATGATGATTCGACATTAATGGAACTTCCACCACAGTAGCCGGTGTATTAATCAATGATGATTGTTCGGTTTCTTTCATAGCACTATCATTATCTATCAATGATGATCCATTTGTTCCATCTATATTCCTCATCATTATCGATTGATCAACATGTTTTAGCATTGATTGCTGTTGCTGATAGCTAGTGTTTGCATTATTATCATCATCATCAACATTCAATGATGAATTTGCTCCATTATTTGCTTTTGTTGAAAAATCCAATATTATACAAAATAATTTTAACCAAAATAATTAACTTACAATAATCATTCACTTTATATGTACGCCCTTGCTGTATAAGTTGCTCAATTTTACGATATTGTAAGAGAAGATCATGATATATGGCATCTTTTTGCTGATCATTTTCTCTCGACATTGATGATGATGGTTGTGGCGGTACTGGACCTTTTGATGTCAATGGCTTTTTCACTCGATGCTCATCATTGATTCTATCATCATCATCATCATTGACATTGTCCATAATTGATGATCGATTATGACGAATGTCCGGCATTATAGATACTCCGGAAAGAACTAACGGTTCGGAAGCTTTTCGTTCCATTTGGATCGATTGACCTTGCGCAAAAAGTGAAGCAGAAGAAAAAAAAAGAAAAAAAGTTAAATTCTGAACTAAAAATTAAAAAGAAACGGTAACTTTGAGAGCAAAAAAAAATAATCAATAATTTTCTTCATTGCTAGGTTTCCATATCATCATCGATATGGAGACGAACTTTTTAAAGAATGAAAAAACAATGAAAAAGAACTAAAAAATTGTTTTGCATAAATCATTTTTTCTCCATAATCACTAAAACCAGTACCGTTATTATTCATTAGTTTTGATTCGATTGTCATCGACGTTAATGGTGATGGTGGTGGCGGTGGCTGCAATGGTTGGCCTTGGCAACCGATCAACGATCCATGTCCCATTTGTCCCTGTCCCTGTTGCTGTGAATGATGATGATGATGTTGATCCATAATGATCTGATGATGGATTCGTTCCAAATCATTAACACCGACCGGTGTTGATGATGCTTCAGTGTTTGTAAACGATGATGCTGTCTAGTGGATTTATAATAATCGATAAAAATGAATAAAATTCCAAAAAGAAAATGTTCATTATATAAGGATGTTCACCTTGAAATATTTTATTTCATTTTCAAGTTGTGAATTTTTCATAATCAAATGTTGTATTTTGGCCTGCATTGTAGCCAATTCATGATTCATCATGTTAATTTGACGCATTTTTTCCAACAATGCTTCATCGCGTGAACGTATTTCTCGTGAAAATGATTCACAAACAAATGAATTTCGTTGTTCAATCTCTTTCAATATAGATAAATGTTGATCAATATCGGTCAAAACGGTACGTATATCATCACTACCATTATCTATTCTAGTCGATGATAATTCAGTTCTTGTAGCGGATAATGTTGTCGATGTAGCCAATTTGTTCATCATTGATTGTTCCAAGTTTCGATCGATTGGATAATTAATTCTAATGATTGATTTGAAACGTTCCAATAATGTTTCCAATTCTCGTAAATGTTCGTTAATCTGTAATTTAAAATGTTGAAATTCTTCAATCAATGCCAATGTTGTTTCACTATATTGTTGTTGTTGACTTGATTGTAGATTATCTACAATTATTGAATCCTGTTTACTACTACTGCTGCTGCTGTTGTTGTTATTGTTATCAATTATTGATGATTGCATCAACGATTGCTGAATGATTGGTGATGAATTTTTCGGTAATGAAATTTTCATATCCATGAATATAATCTTAAGTTTTGATTATTCACTCTCTCTCTCTCTCTCTCTTTTTGGTTTTCTTTTTTCCGTTTCGAACAAATCACATAGACATTCATATATGTGATAATCGCAACAAACCAAAAAGATAAAAAAATGAAGACAACATACAAAGAGCTTGAAAAAACACAAATGACAATTCACTGATCATTTGTATGTTGACTTGACTCGATGTATTTGATTTTTGTTTCGGTTTTTTTTTTGGTATTCATTTTACCACGGTAACGATGATCATTAATAACATTCAAACGAATCAGGTATATATAGATTTTTTATTCGGGTAAATATTGGATTTCGTTTGTTAACTTTAAAATGATGGCAAAAATAAATAACTAAAATGATTATGCGGTTGTGCGTGTGTTGAATATTCTCGAAGCTATTGAACGAATCATTTTAAATTCTCTTGTCGAATTTCGTGACTACGACAACCATGAAATCGATTCAAAACTTATTTTCAAATTTTGTAATGTTTTTTTATTATTTATTATTCTTTTCTTATTACTACAAGCACTTTAATCATCGTTCTTTCGTTTATCGGAAAAAAATTCTTAAAACAAGCGATTGAATCGAGTGAAGAAGAGAAAAAGAAAAAAATGGCTAATTTATTTATGTTGTTGAGCTTGCCCACTAGCAGGAGGAACTTGAACATTTTACTTGGTGGAAAGGTGGAGCTGATAATTTAACTTTCTATATCAACAGGTTATATCTATATAAAACAACAATTCAATTGGCTAATTTAAATTTTATTTCAAATCTTTTATTTAAAAAACACTATAAAAAATTCTTATTTCAATTAAAGACATAATGATAATTATTAATTTGTTGATTAGATGAAAAAACGATTAATTATTTGTCAATTAGATTATCTGGGTATTATCAATCGATATGATAAAATTAATTAATTTCGTTTCATTTTCTGTGAGGATTGTAGATCACCGATTAGATTACGTTTTCGTCTGTTTTGTTCTTTGACTATTGTCAATAATGGATATGGTATAGTTGTATTGGATAAGGATGATGATGAACCTACAGTAAACATTAAATGATACAAACATTGACAAATATTTTCCAATGCCATATGAAATTCAAGCATTGATTTTGGATCTTTTTTTAGCTTATTAAAATCAATTGGTCGTAATGGCCGGGATCCAGTTTGACAAAGATGACAATTTTTTGATTGTTCATCTGAATGATATTGTTCTGTTTGATTGTTATTTTCGAAAGCTATACATGAATCATATACAATGGTAGGACAATAACCAATAGTTGAAATGTAAAGATCCAATAAATGATTACGATGTATTAATAATCCATGTGTACAATGTTTATTATAAATATCTTCAAGTAAACAAGATCGTAATAAATTGACACCTTTATTCCATTCACTTGAAACATACATATGTCTCATTTGATTTTTATCGATCCATCGTCGTAATTCATATGTTAATGGTTGTGTATGACCTAGATCAATTTTACTACCGACAATATAAATTGATACTAATTGTCGTTGAGTCGATGTCAATTTTGATAGATAATCTATGATGACAACAAAAATCAATACTATTCATACACAAATAGTCATATCATATGATACATACTTTCAATCGGTTCACGAATTTGTTTCAATTCATTTAAATTATTTGAATTGTAAACAACTAATATTGTTTGAGGACGATGATATTTTTCATTGAGAAAAATATGCCAATGTTCATGATAGGTATCCCATATACGCATCACAATATTGGCATCTTTACAATAATTTAGATAATAATAATATTCAGAAAACATTCGTGATGCTTGATTCGATAGCAAACGTACCATGGATTCACGACCAGTTATCAATACCGGTAAATCATTTAACAACGATTTCGATGATGATGATGATGATGATATGACTGCATCATTACTGTTCGTAGTAGTTTTAATGGGTGATGATTCAAGCCAGTTAAAAAATTCGGATAAATGATTCATTTTAGATTTTTTCCGTCCAATTGCATGATGATTTCGATGCAAATTCATCGATTGTTTTCGTGAGTTTGTTTTCAATGACGCTAATGATGACGGTGGTGATTTTGATACTGTTGCTGCTTTTGAATCCAATGATGATAACGATGATGTTGATGTTTGTGCAACAGATAAAAAAGATTGAATTGATCCACGTGAATTCGATGACAGCGATGATGATGTTGATGAAATTGAAAATTCAGAAATATCTTGTGTTAGATCACAAATATCTTGTGTTAAATCGGTAAACTCTACCAAAGATTTTATTTTTTCTACATCAAAATATTGTAAATCCATTAATTTTTCAACTAATTTTGATTTCCCTGATTCTATGCAAAAAATAAACAAACAAAAAAAATCAAATTCCCATTAAATCTAAATAATGATGATTACCTTTTGTACCGATAATCAAAACACGTTCACGAATAAAAAATTCTAAAAGGCCACGTAAAATAATTGAATCCATTTTTGGTATTTTTTTTTTTTATTCAACAAAGACAAATTTGAATATAAAAACAAAAATTAAAAACAAATTTGATCAAACGAATTAAATGATGTTATGTTTTTTTTCCTTTCTCAACTATAGCAAATAAGTCAGTATGAAAATTGACAAAAAAAAAGAAATTGAATCACGATTGAATCTGAAAAAAAAGGATGCTGTTGAGAATTCGAAAACGGCATTGACACACACACAGAAATTAATAATTGACCTGAAAATAATGATAAAATGCTGTGACCGATAGATAGCGCTTTTGCTTTCTAAAACAAAACAAAAAACAACAATTCTAAGATGTGATAAAACAAAACAAAAGAATCTCTCGATCATTTTTTTTCTATATGAATTGTAATCAAATTCTGGAAAAATTGTTATTAAAAATTGACAAAAATTAATTAACAAATTTTTTAAATTTTAATGTAAACAACAGAAAAATTAATAAGATAAATAAATTAAATTGAAATCTTATGATTGATCAGTCCATATCCTGAAATTTTCCGTTTGAATCTGATGAATATTGATAATTGCGTTTTTGATAAGAATTGAAGAACCAAAAAAAAAAAAAAAAAAACAAGTAATTTCAAAAAAAAGGAAAAATTCGTTATAATGATTTTTTTTTGTTATCATATTGTCCCTATAGTAGTAGTGGTATCAATAGTAGTAGTTCATATTAATGATATAATAAAAAAATAATTTTCAATATTATCATGACATCTGTTGGCTATGGCCAAAAACATTAAATTTTTGCGGGAAATATATAAAGAAAATTACATTTATCCATTTTATTAAAGATATATCCATTCACTCATCATGGTTTCTATCATTTCATTTCTAGATCTAAATTCAATTGTCATCATCATCATCATCATCATTGGGATGCAACTTAATAATTGAATGAAAATGAAACGCTATCTTTCGAAAGCTGGTCATGGCTGTCCAAATCCATTAGACCAAACATACACACACATACAAAAATGGAGAGTGAGATTAAGTGCAATTCACTTTCATTTTCATTTTTTTTCGGTTACAAATTACTTGCAACAAAATTGTTTGTTCGACAAACCAAAATTGTACCGGATGTCAAACGGATTTGTTGTTTGCCTTGCATTCATTGATGTTTTCATAGAATAGAAACAACCAGAAAATTATTATTTGATTGTAATTTAATTTTCACAAAAAATTCTAAAAACCTCAAAGTTTTTGTTTGTTTGTTTGTTTGTTTGAATGAAGGAAAAAGATTACTTACTGTGTAATCAAAAAGAAAGAAAAAAGATAGTCAACTGAACTTTTTGATATTCAGATTTTTTTTCTCCTAATTATTGTGTTGTTTAGATAACAAAATGGACGACAATTTTTGAAATCCAATGACCAATGGACAATCTTTCACATCCAATAACAACAACAACAATGTATAATAATAATAATCCAGGTTATTTCAAGTGAAAAATAATTGAAAATTATAGCTTTTAATAAAGTAAAATTCACAACAACAAAAAAAAAATGTTGTTCATTTGGTGTCCGAAAATTGAAAATTGAAAAAAAATTGAATCATCTTTTTTTCGTTTCAAATATAAACTTTGTTTATGGATAGACAAAAAAAATGACAATTATCAATTTCCAGTATAAATGTCACCCGGATTTTCTGTACAAACAAACAAGCAACGATGAAACGAATGATAGTCTTTCCGGCTGTCTCAACATACCGGAATATTCCACATCCGAACGGCATATTTTACAATTTTTTTTTTCGTTTGACTGCATCAAAGATTGAAGCCAAATTATTCATCATTTATTTAACAAAAACTGATTGTAATCACAGGATGAAAGTAGTGTTCATTTTTCAACAACAAAAAAAATGAAAAGAAAAATTATTTCATCCTGAAACAATAATGATGGAACAGAAAAAAAAATATTAACAAATAATTCAGCAACAGTACCAGTAGCAGATGTCAACGAATGTTTATATTAATTAATTAATTAATTAATTAATGTTGTTTTTTGATACATCCCATTTTTTTTCATTTTGTTTTGTTTTGTTTTGTTTCCCACTATTCCTAACGGTTCAATTATTCGGTACGATACATAGATTGATATTGTTATTTATTTTTTGAAAAAATAAAAAATAAAAATTAAAAATCATCAACATTGATGAACTGTTGAACTGAGGTGAATAACAATGAGAGATTGTTGGATTTTGGTCAGCTTATGAATAGTTATGGCTAAATAAATAATTTTTTATCAAAAGTTGCGATCAACAACAGCTATAATAATAATGATGTGATGATGATAATAATGAAAATTCTATATTACAAAGTTGAAATGTTTTGGCTTTTGATTTTCATTCGTTTTTACTTTTCCATTTAAATATTCGTGAAATTTGAATTTTTCGCTCGGTTTATTCAATGAAAATTATTTGTTGCTGTTGTTTTTTTTTCGCTAACCAAAGAAAAATATAAGAGAAAATCTGATGATATCGTCAAAATTTTTTGTCCGGAAAAACAAAAATGTCGAAATGATTTTTGTTTTTGTATTAATGGCATGTGTAACATTAATTTTATTTATCAAATCCATCATCTTTTTTTTTCTTGGTAAACATTTTGTAAAAAGAAACAATTTATCAATTGTAAATCCATAATGTACCATTTTTGTTAAAGTTTCATCATCATCATCATTCATAAAATTTTTAACCTTTCAATTCGGATTTTGAAGCCAAAAAAATAATGAAACACTTTTTGAAAACGATTAGTCAGCAACCATAGATTTGAATGAAATGAAAAAAAAACAAATTTGATTCAAATCTTGGAATCATATAAATCGTAATGATAAACGTTTCGTTATTTTTTTAGAGATTTTATTGGCTTTGTAAATATGTTTTCTATGATAATGAACAAATAAGAAACGAAAATACAATTTTCAACAACAATAATGATGATATAAAAAGACATTAAAGTTTGTTTTTCTCTTTTAAAAAAAAGGATCTTTCATCCAAAAACACAGACATTATCCATTCCAATATATAACCCAATCTTGATTTTTGGTTTGGTTGTTATTTTTTTTCAATTTTATTTTTTTTCCCGAAAAAAAAATTGTCTGATCTTCTTATGATTTTCAAAATGTTCACTCGTCCAATTATCGACAGTGTTTGAAGATATTTTTTTTGTTTGTTTGTTGAAATAGTAGCCATTGATGATGGAATTAGTATTAAATAAATTTTGTTACTTCAAATTTGATCAGTGTGAAAAATTGCAGAAAAAAGATATTACATCCGTGGACAATTTTTCTTTTCAAGATGATGCAAAAAAAAAGTGAAAATAAATAAGCTTTTTTCCAATAGAAATTGTCACAAAGAATTTCCTGTGTTTGTTTGTTATTATTCTCTGTTTTTTTTTACCTTTTCGGATCAAATAACCATCACATAGGCATTTGATTTGCATTCATTCATTCACAATCCATGGGATAAATATTGAATTTTGAATCAAGCGAAAAAAAAATCTAAAGAATATTAGAAATGAACATCAAACACTGAAAGACTAGATCCAAGATAAATCTTGATAGACTGAATTTCAAGAAAAAAAATCATTCGATTCCTTTCTTTCATTTTAGTTATTCTTATTTTCAGGTGAAACTGGTAAAGTAAAAAAAAAGTATACTTTATTCTTTTTTATCATTGCATTTTTTAAAATGAAAAAAAACAACATAATGTGTGTGTGTGTATATACTGGTAAATACAACAGAATTGAATTTGTAAACAAATCACACCAAATATTTTAAAATCTGAGAGAATTATATTTATATATTTTTTTTTTGAAATATCAAAAAACATTTTGTTCGTCTATTCAAAATCTATTATCATTGTAATATTGTAGTCAAAAGAATCAGTTGTTCTGTAGAAAAAAAAAGATTACTATCATTGATTGAAAATTGACCTTTTTGAATTTTATCCATTACAAAATATAATAAAAAATTTTAATGAAAAAAAAAGAAAATTAATAAGATTTTGTTGATCAAGGATTTGCTTAACATCATTGATTCGATGATTTTGAATTAGTAAAAAAAACAACCTTATTCAAAATTGATTTGAAAATGACAATTCTTGACATGCAAAAAAAATATCGTTGTTCAACCAACAAAAAAAAAACAGCATGACATGACTTTTATCACATCAAGTTTCTTGACATTGTCCGGTGTATGTGTGTATATGTTTTTTTTTCTCATTTCCTTTTTCCGGTGTTTTTTTCCTAGTTTTCATCTTTTTTTTCCTGAATCACGATAATTTAAAGAATGAAGAAAGATGTTTTCTTATTTCATTCAATCAATTTCATGCGATGCCAAAAAAAAAAGGAAATGATGCGCAAAAGAGAAAAATTCACGTGTTGAAAATAAATTGATTTTTTTTTCTCGAAACAAAAAAAAAATTGCATCATTTTTTTTCTCGGGTTAGAAAATTCAAATTTTTTTCTTCTTCTTCTTCTTCACTTATTTTTTCATTATTCTTCTGTTCATTAGCATCCCAATATTCTTATTTGGCCATACATAGAATAGATAAATCTCATTATTATAATAATAAAATGACAGATGTTTTCATATTCATTTGCTAATCATACTGTCATTATATAATATTTTTGTTATACGCATAATTCATTAAATAAAAAAAAATGTTTTTGCAATGATGATGACATTTAACTTTTTTTTCCTATTTTAATCATTTCTAAAAAAAAGTAATGTAAAAAAATACAGTGAAATTATTATCGTTTGATAATAATAATAATAATAATAAGTAGCCCATTGAAGAAAAAGTTATCAACATTTGACAAAGCAAATACATCATATTTTTTTAGGGATTTTGTTTGCAATTCATTTTTTTTCTCATATATTTCGTGTTCCATTTTTATTCTTAATATGATACATCCGAATGATATTAATTGAATTAGTGTGTGTGTGTGTTTGTGTGTTGTAAAAAGCTTGTTGATGTTATTTTTTTACATTTATATTTTTGCTGTTATTCCATATTGATGTCGATATCGATTTTTTGAATCATCATTTCCTACTAT